TTCTATGGAGATGTTCCAGGTCTTGTGCATTCAAACAGTTTTGGAAGTGTCATGTGGGAGGGCTTGTATCTAACCTTGTTTTTTGACTGCATTACTGCGATGGGGACATATCACCCAATGTGTTACCCTGGAGAAGTCTTTAAATTCGTTATTCATCTAATAATGATTGATGGTTCATTACATCTCGTCTCATATTGCCTGTGGTTTTAATGTTGGTGAAGTCAAAACTAAGTCGTGGACTCTCTGGCAACTCAAGGAGGCAGGACCGAGCATAAATCTCGGTACCTAATTCCTTCAGGTTTATTTTATTTTTCGTGAAATATTGTTCTGGTTGATCAAACCACAACTTCGGGAGCACTATGATTAAATGCCAAATGTCAGGCTTTCATAGCTATAACGGGGTCTATCTCAACCAGTGAAAAATTACATTTATCCTCCAGGCTTTTGATTTGAAAACTATAATTAGAACAAGTTAAAATTTTTCTCATGATATTTATCTGAGCTTATTAAAAACCCCAAAATGACAGTTCTTCATTTTTACAAACTCTTAATTAATTTATGGGAAACTATTCATTCATTTCTTATAAATGTTTGGTTTAATATTATTCTGTTAATAAATAAAGTATTAGACAAAGAAAAAACTTGATTCCAAGTAATAACGTATGTATTAGCTGGTTTTCTGTATAGTTCTCACATGTAAATAATAATGCATCAAAGCGTTGTGTTTAAATTACATGATTAAAATCTCGATGAAAATATGTATTAAATGAGAAAATGTGCTTTACATGAACTGTCCCAGAACGTTTGCTTCACTTTGAAAAAAATATAAATCAGTGTATGCATTACGATTATTGAACAAAATTATTACCTATCGTGTTTTATACACAAAAATCAAAATAAATGTAGGCTGATTAAAATGATATAAAATTAATCATGAATTTACTTATAAAGTAAATCCAATAGTATCATTAAATGTCTTATGATCACTTACATTATAGGATGATATATAATCAGTGGGGGAATTTAATTTTAGCGTTGTGCACGACTGACCAACTAAACTTATGATAAAACATATTTCATAAGATTACCCTCTATGTTTGCTCAGTGTGTGGTAGTTTATATACAACATTTCTTTGACCATATGTGGTGTTTGTATGAACTAATGATTTCTTTGTATTTGATTTCGAATTTCAAATACAATACGTTCGTTCGTGCCCATCTAGTACTTCTTGGCTAAATATTCCTAATCATCTTATTCTTGTCACTTATTTTTAATATAAAATTTACTAAAACGAATTCACTTCACTGTCACTAAATAAGTTTTCACTTTGTAGAGACATAATTAACGATGCTCATCCCAATCCTTCAAACGTAATTTAACTAATTCACAGACAAAAACTTACATGCATATGATCGCCGAAAAGAATCAAATTCAAATTTATTATCTTCATATTAGTTTAGATACTATGGTATTGTTTTCAATTATTGGTTTGACAGTTTCGCAAACACATAAATATTAAATAGCAAGACAACTATCATATCGAAAAAATCTGATTGCGCTGTTCCCGTTGTTGAGGTGAATTCGCAAATTAAGGCAGATAAAACCCGGCGAGCATAACTGAAAGGATTATATTTGTTATTCGAACCAGCCATGGAATAAAGTAAAAAGAAATCGTCAGTCAGTACAAATACCACGGCCAGCCTATAAAGTGGACTAAATAGAAAAAAATATTCCCTGATAATTTTTAAGAGGAGGAACTATTATTAATTCCAGCAAAACGTTCGTGCTATTAATTTAAATAACATAACAGCATCATTTATTTTGGAATATAGCCATTTATAAAAATTAGCTAGACTATAGTAAGGGCACGGAGCAGTCAGAATCGAGAAAATTCCTTTTGAATTTTTGAGCTGAATTCAAAAACAAATTACTCCTATCCTTCATATAAGAAACATAACAGAAATACTTCTATATAGTCTTTGAGACGTGTCAAATGTTCACTTTCTGTATATATATATATATATATGTACACAACATATTAATTTTTTAAATCCATCCAACTATTGACTTTTTATTTACGATAATGAACATAGGAACGATGGTCAAATGTATTTGTAGATAGAACTTTCTGGGAATTTCACCTGTGGTGCACCTTGAAATATCAATAATAATTTCCAGCTTCAATTTAGATACCTATATACCACAACTCCTTGTTTTTCGCTTCGCCCTAGCTAATTTTAAAAAAGTCTTGGAAGGAAGCCTTACCTGATAGAGATTCAAGATTGGTTAAATAAGGTGCAAGATGAGTAGAAATATGTGTACATTAACCAGGATAATACGGCAAAAGCTAATGAACCAAAGGAACTACTAATCAATAGGAAGACAACGTCTTTAATTACAGTAAAAATGATAGACTATCTCCGTAAGGAATTTCGTCTTAGAAAAGGTAATTTAAAACTACAAAGCAACTAGTAAGTGACTTTTTGGAGGATTTAACGGCCTCAAACGTTTCCCTGTCGTACAACGAGTCCATAGCAATTCGAACAATGAACAAGTCAATTCATAAATAATTGTCCATAAATCTCTTTTCATTCAGCTAGTCATATATCATAACTGAAAATATAAAATAAAGTAGTATTTTCTTGCTGTAATTAATATAGCAAAAGCTAATCCTGAACAAGAAGAAAGACAATAATCACCTACATATAATGATCGTGCCTACAGCCACAAAGGTTCCGCACCAAGTATAGAGAACCATTTACACAAAATATTTTAATCATAAAATTGTCATTAGCTGATATTACTATGCAGCTTTAAGCAGTTACAAATTCTGATTAATCAACCGAATAAACTATTTATATACTCACATGAACGGCAAAATATTCATCATTAATCCAACATAGTTTATTGACTATTATTTTAATATTATTGTTTATTTTTCGGTAATTGTTTAATGATACTTTCAACCAATCAAAACACCCATTTTGTTTTAATGAAACAAGCCAAGACAACTAATCATTGTCACATGTTAACCAACGTTTACTGATTAGTATTATCATTATCAATAAGACAGTCATTAGCCGTTAAAATAAATATATGAAATCCACAATTTTCTAAAACGAGATAATTTTTCATAGTACAGGGAGTTAAAAAATGTGACATACTTCCCTCTGAGTGCATACTTATTTGTAAAGATCTTAGCATGTAAATCGAATGAATATTGTGCACGCATGAATCTTACTCCTCTTCATGAATAAAAAATAAACGTGTTGATTAATATGAATGAAATCAATATCGATGCGATTAATATTTCCGATGAATGTGACAAGAAGCATGGAATTATTTATCAGGTAGATATTACGAAATACCTGTAAAGTAGTTTACAGATTATTTAACCATACAGCTCTGTGTAATATCGAGACCACTGTATTGCTAACTTGCTGTCCGATGAAATAAAATCATTAGCTTTTGAAGACACTATCAATAAATGGTTCTTGCATTGAGACTACTTTTCAAATAGTGGTCAACATTATAACAACAAATTATTAGTTAGTGAATGTCGTTTATCTTATGTAGTTAAAAAACAGTCTTTAATTGAAGCATATTCGTAAATCATCCGAAAAAACAAGACGAGAAGTTAGCGATAGTATTAGAATCATTAAAATGTTGACATCCGTTTTGCTTCATACAAAGACATATTGACAGTGTGGGCCCTACACATAAGGGTGGACTTAAACAATATAAAGTAAAGAGATGGAATACGGTTGGCTGTCTCATAGCAACTAATAAGTAAATCTGAATTTTATTCAACTGCTTATCTATCTCGTGTTTTGCGGACAAAAATGGTGTATTTTCATTTGTTTAGATTTACGATGGACAACCAGCTTTCCTAGGCCAGTAACACAAACTTACATTTATTTGACCACATTCTATGTATACTGTGACAAACTTGATTAATAACATTTATCAGATTGTCTAATTTCATCAATGACCATAACCTGAGGCTATGTATTTCCCTTACATCAGATCTACATGCAGCTATTGTCTTACCATGATTTTCACTTTTCATATCAAATTACTCATACGCGATACAACAAACCTCACATTTAGAATTGCTAACATGATTGAACGATTATTTTAAAGCACAGTTAGCCCGTAAATCATGCATTTGTATACGATAGTTTTGAGGTTTGATTACTTGTAATTTATTTTTGTATTGTTTGTTTGAATCATCCCATCGATGTTTAGGACTGCAATTGATCAGTCTCTTATTGGCATATGTGCATCGTGTTTCTATATTGCCTTAAGTCACAAGTATTTTAAGCAAAGGTGGATGGTGGCCAGCAGTGGAATCCAGTTGACCATTCCCAAACAGGACTAAACGCGCGTCCTGCATTCCACCACTATTCATCTTTGCTTACAATGTTTGACTATTTCTCCTTACAAAACTTAGACCAGATTACTGAGGGAAACGTTAGATTTATTTTATGTTCAAACACTGAAATTTTTACAAATATAATTTTTATTTTAGTGTTTTACATTAACTCGACGCCCAAATACTGTGAAACTATTCGTTCAATTTTAGAAGAAAGTTCTTATAAATAATTAATTTTACGCTAAACAATCAACTATGTTATGTTGATTAGGAATCTAGAATTAACTAACGCATAAAAATTACATAGAATTTCTAGACATAATAAAAATCAATCGAACAGACAAAAACAATAAAGATATCTGCTAACCGTGAATGAGTTTAAACAAAAAAACATTAAAAAATTATGTGTAAACATGATGCACAGAAAAAGTAGAACCAGTAGGGATGCAAAAATATTTTCGAAAAACAAGAAAACTAAAAGTGAATGTAAGAGACTAATTATAAACAAAAAAATAAATGTGACATTTTCAATCAGTCATAAAACAAAACTACTATAAGTTCTGCTCGTCGATATATATATATATATATATATATATATATATATATATATATATATATATATATATATATATATATATATATATATATATATATTGGAAACATATTTATACAATGTACTACATGAGAGACAAATGGTGTTACTTCACCACATAGATATCATTGCATGAAACAGCGGTAATTGTAACAACTCAATACAAAATCAAGATAATAAAGGTGAAAAGTAGTACGAAAAAAACCACCTAAACAAAGAGACATGTTCGAACGAACGAAGTGATCAGAAGTAAAAACAAATGGAAAAAACCATAGACAGACGTGTATATATGCTTAAGGAAAGTTTGGAACAAAGGAACAATGAGGCAAAAAGCAGCAACGACAAAAACAAACACAAGCACAATTATTAAGATAAGAAACTTTTTAAATGGTGAAATAATCATTTACAAATAGAAAAAAAAGCAAAAAGGACATTATTTATCACAAAGAAAACGGAATACAGCAAATTAAGAATAAAGCAAATAAACAAGCAAAATAATCCAACGTATAGAGGACATGTTCAGGTCAGATGTATAAATTAGTAAAACAACCGTAGATTTACATGTTGAACAATGAGCATTCCAATGTTTAAATATTAACAATAGAAAAACAAAATAATCCATTGGTTTTAGAAAAAAATATATTATTCATCAAATCAATATTCCATTTAAATGAGGTAACCTATAACAGATACAGTAACTAATTATACAAGAGTATAACATAATAATATAAAAAGTAACGTTAAAGTTATATCATGATGTACAAGTGTAAAGAAAAAAAAACAAAAAGGAAATTATGAACCACATAAAAGCTAATGAAACATTAATAGATTACATTACAGAGCAACAAAGTCAATTTGTGTAGGATTATTTGATTTGTCTAATATTGAGTGAAGTAATAATTGATGAGAGCTAATATATACAATGTTATGATCGTAAAATACTAATCTAAGAACGAATTTATTAGATGAACAGAAATGCAGATAGTCAATATTTTGTAGTGAAAAGTAAATGACTAACTACTACTACTACTAAGAGATAATAGCTTCCACTACAGAACTAGTTGCAGATCTACTACCTTGTTTCCACAAACATTCAGGGTCGAATGGTGAGTGTACAATAACTTGGATAACGAAACCCGATGGTATATGACAGTCTTTAATCGAAAGTCGATTGGAAAGAGAACGACCACACACAAACCAACGCTGTCTAAGCTCATGCCAACCGCACAGTGAAGTAAATAAACGTTTGGCTTCCAAAACTGTGATATTTTGATCACCGATTTCTAATGTATACTGTTCACCAGTAGATAATCTTAAATTAAGACAAGATGATTGTGGATTTGAAGAATTATGATTTGTAGGATCAACTTTGTCACATACTGATTGATCATAATCGCGTCTGCACGAATTAAAGTTCCATTGTAACCAATGAGGTGATCCGTTTCTGTTCCTGCGATTTCTATGACAAAATGCATTGAACAATGACAAACACCCACATACATCGTTACTTGATGGGTCATTATTACTATCGGCGCATTGTTGATGAGAATGAACTCTTGTGTTACTAAAGCCTGAAGTATAGGTATTTGAATTTCTGAGTACAGAAGATATATTTGGTTGAGAGTGTAAGCTTTGTGAATCAGGAGTAGATGGATCTGGAATGAGATTACTTGGCTGACTTAGGACGTATAATGGAAGCTGATAATGAGCACCAAGTTCATCATAGCAGTCATATAATGTTCCTAACGTTAAAAAAATAAGTAAACGCATCTAATGTACATAATATAATCATACTTTCAGTTATTTAAATACGAGCTATACGTGTTATACAGTAAAATAAAGTGGTATGTGGTAATATAATAATCACTGGATATAAACACATACCTATTATAATTGATCATCAAAGGAATAAAGTAAATAAGTATGCCAAGGAGAGCAATGCAAATGAAGAAGTGAACGAGTTTGATTACTGAAGTCAACTTACTTGAATAAAATCAGACTGAACACATTATTAATCAACTTTTCAAGGTGAAAATATCACACACTTTCATACCTAACCTTTCGTCCACCACGTTTTTTCGGTATCTGACGGATTTCTGCAGATGAAAGCAGTGTATAATTGTATTATCTAAATTAGCTTCAAACTGTAGAATTATACCATATTATCAGTTAGAAGTTTTAAGATTTACATGCTCAACTTAAATTGATTGTCTTAAATACACAAATATTTCAGACAACATGAGTGCTTATATACAAAATATTGCTGTACCTTAAATATCCGATTCAGCCACCCACAAATTTTATTACACAAACGTTAAATTATTACATTTGCTGACGATATCTAACACCACCATAACGAAGTCTTTCGCAGGAGGAAATGCCAGAGTGGTAAATGGAGCGGGGTTACAATCGGTTATTAAATAATGGCTAAATCAGTAAGTCAGGGCTACAAACATATTGGTTTGAAGAGTCAGATCTGACTACTGCTAAAATCAGCTTTTAGAAGTTTCTACAGTTCATTACACTTCACTAAGACAACCAACATATGCAGTCTAGTTCACCTAAATGCCCATTGAGCTGCTTTTTTTATTTATGGTAACTGTTTTCACATCAATGAATCAATAAAAGTGCAAAAAACGTTCGGCGGAAATCTGAACATTGATAAAAAATATATGACGAGAATGCACATAAAAACTAACTACTATGTAGTACGATTCTGATGTAAATTGCATATTATCATTTACAATGTGATTTATATCAGATTTCATGCCTTAACACATGTGTACAAACTTTTTGAGCAATCTTTATGGTACGTGAAGTTCTACAGAAAGAGCATCCAACAGTTTAGAATATAACAAAAGAAGTTACCTATTTATCCGACCATCTGCGGTTTCCCAAAATTTTAGCTTACTGTACTAAGTTGAATAGGTATACAAAGCATTTAAATACTGCTAGGGAATACATCAAAATTTTTACCTGATGGAAGAGTGATACATGCTCCATCTAAAATCGCTTGAGCCATATCATATTCTTGTTTTTGAAAAAAATCAGCAACTACTTTCAGAGCATTCCAAATCTCAATTCTGCCTTCAGCTGCTGGAGCTGTATCCCAAAATTCATCACGTTTCCTTTGTAGCTGACTTAATGAAATAGGAAAAGTACTACGCCAACGAGGGGAGATTCGTTTAAGTGGTCTATTTTTGCCTAAATAACAAAAACCAGCGAAATTTATTTTCAACGAATTGATTATCTAGGCTTTTGAGAATATAATATCAACTGTCTTTATAAAGTAATCAAAAATCTCAGGGACTGTAGTAAGGTTCACAAGGTTACTAAGTATCATGGGATCCAAATGTCCAAATGACTAGAGATAAAAGTGACGTTTGCTTTAAAACTGATGATAAACAGACAATATACCATTGACTTTAACCTTAAGACTTGTAATAACTTGAATTTAACGTCTCTGAACTTCCTAACATACAACAGCTTAAAGGCATATAAACGAAAAATGAGGTGTCTGTGAGCGGGCTCAATCATCACCTATAGTTCTGAGCTTTTGTTCTAGTTCATTTCCATACAATGTGGTAATTAATCAAAGTATACGTTTGTGTGTCTGTGAAGAGACATTATTACTAATCAGTCAATCTTGGATTTATGTATGCGTTAGGCGCAGCCCCATATAACGTATTTGTTGTCAGTATCTGTTCGAAAATGAAGAAATATTTTACACAGGAAAATTCCGTAAGGTTTCATGGTCATCAACCAATAAATGTTACTCTATACTTTGTTGCGTAAACTCCTTATTATGTAAAGATAACAAGGCTTGTTGAATACACATTATTTAAATGTAAAGGGTGACTGAATCAAGCAACAGGCGGAAGCTTCGTTAGTTTATATCAGACATTAGCAACAACAAGACTGGCATTTAAAGACAATCTGTGAGATTAGTGTCACACGTATCACTAGGGTCTGAATGAAGAGTGTAACGTATTCAGGAGTCCAAATGGATTATATCAAGTGCACTCTAATGAATGTTATGTCATTTTGGATTATTGTCAAAACAATCGTAGACATGAAAAGCGCAGGCAAGAACTACAGGATACAACTCCATGTCTAACCAATTGATTGAAAGAATACTTAGGAGGATTTTTAGGCCACAAGAAAGGCCAAGGTGCAAGTACTACACTGTGACACCTAATGACTCATGGTTAGCCCGACATAATTGACAAACTCATCAACGTGTTACCATTAAACGGTGTGTATGAAATGTGATTGTGTTTAAAAAGTTTTGAAACATGGTTATTTATTATCTGGCATATATATATTCTACATACATGATGTAGTGCACATGTCTAAACAAATCTCGAGGTTTAATACCTTACCGACATTTCGAATAAGCCAACTCATCTGACACTGTCAAATATGTCATGATTTTACTCACGGCTTTGTGGATTACTGCTAGAATACTTTGGCATCCTTGAGATACTAAAATTCGATGTGAAAACGTATTCGCGACAAAATATCAGCTGTACCAAAATCAACCGCGCTTTAAATCAGTCGAGGAAAACAAAATAAAAAAAAGTTCACATCAAATAATCTTTCTCAATAAGCTTGCAAATTTCTTCTCGTCACAGGGATAATCAAGTATCATACCATTCAGACATTTAGCGCGCTGTTTGCTTCTGAACTCTGCATATAATGTAGTTCTCGATATGGTGTTTTCAAAAAGTGTTCTTTGAATGACTGCTTTTCTTGTACTGACAATATAGCTTCATTGGCGTTATGGATATTACTGATTTTAATAGGCAAGTCTGTATTTGTTCTCGTTTATATCTCATTGATACATACCAATGAGATATAAATAATATTTAATGAAGTTATTATAACTATTTTAAATCATGAAATGTAGCATAATTAATGTGTTTATTCGGAAATATTGTACGAAGTTGGATACTTCTTGATCCTGGTGCTATCTAGCAGGATGTAGGAACCATACATTAATACTCATTACGTCTAACCAAAAGATGTAATTTTATACCTTAAATAATATTATGCATTTGTTACCAGATGTCGGTAGCATATTTTCTTGTTAGTCTTCTCACTTGGTTACTATGTCGACAGTTTTTACAGGTTGACATGTCTAAGCTGATGTTGAGTTTGCTTCACAGGCAAGGATTCGTTTCAAACACTTTGTCACACAAGGAGACGATTTTTCAACTGGTCTTATCAATAGCTATTTATTAAGTGAAAATAGTACGTTCTTTGTAATGGAGAAATGAGCAATTATGTCGATACCTTGCCCTTATCGTCTTTCAATGCTTCAGCTGGGGAATGGTCGTCCGACGGCTAATAAGTAACAGTTCATCGTATTAAACTAGCCTACTGAAGATTCCGTAGTAATATCAGCTAGTAAAGCATCTTAGAAATCGTGAATGTGTAGTTTGAAAAAAGCGTGATTGTTTCTGACATAATGGTAGTTCCTCCATATTGAGAGATCTTTTGGATTTTTCTGTTGTCACAACTCGGCTTTTCATATTAATTGGTCAGTAATTTAATCCTTGTTGTTAGCATGGTTTTCTAAATAAAAGTAACCAATATCTTTGTGTGCAAGTGATGTGTTACAGTAAATGGAATTTATCCTTAATCACATCTCGGTAATTTCCTCCATTTTTTAAGCACATCGCTAATAAACAATCATCATATCTAAAGCCTGTCTAACCATATAGAGGGAAGATTGGATATAGTTATATATTTTTAAAAACCTAGTCGCAAAATATCTTTTCACCCAGCAATGTGTAGTGATCATTTTGCACTCTACAGACTGGAGTTTTGCAGTACTGCATCGCTCTAATTGTAAAGATAGCCGTGGATGCTGATGTTGGTTTATTTATTCCTTGTTATTATTCAGACCGTGTAAAAATATATGTTACATATATGTTAGTTATACACTGATTTGTTCCACAATACTAAATTCCGATTTCCTATCCATATAAAATTATTTCAGCATATCCTCTAATTCTCACACTCGTGAAATTATTATCTCTTAAAATCTTCTGGTCTTCTAACTTGACATTCGTAAACACTCCCATTATATTGTTTGCTTGCAAAACTGTTATTGCCAGTAATCCGTATTCTTGAATATAACATATTGTTCCCATTTATTTTCAGATATGAGTGGGTTCAGCTAATTGATCCGAAATCACAGCAATTGATGTACATCAATCTCAAGTCCGGCGAATGCAGCCGAGACCCTCCTAAAAATACAAAATAGTGAGTTGTAGACACTAATGTGATCATAATTCGACACAATAAGCTATCTTTAATATTCTTCCTCAAACATGAGGTTAAGAGTTCTAAAGGAACAGAGTTCATATCCAATTATTTTAAGGATTTTAAGTTACAGAAGGGAATCAGATCATCAGAACGATATTTTGGTGGTTATAGCTATAAGTTTTCAACCATGAGGTTGCGAACTTAAACCTCGTTCTATCCAGTTTCTTTCATATAATCTGGTTGTGTCACTAGTGTTAACACATGCAGTGTAGTTTTATGTTAATTACTGAGATTCACTGCTTTTTTGTTCGATGATCAAGTTTTGTCTCCATTATTAATCGAATTTGTTCGTTTCTCAAAAAAAACTGGCTACTAACTTGGATATTAGTCATATTGTTAATATCCCACTTTAAGAAAAATATTGATTTTACCAGTCAGTTGTACAGGTCTTTTACACTTGTACCAGATAGATTCGGTAGACATGTGACACGGTTGTTACCAACGTATAAACCACTAGTCTAAACAATGAAATCCACCTTATGTGCCTACTGTTATTATTATTATCTCGGATGTGGTTCACGAAATTTTACTTTGTTTAATGGCACCCAAATGCTCTGGTACGGCCGAGTGTGGGGAGAGTCCGCTCTCCCTCTCGAAATGCTCTCACATGGCCACGCGTATATAGCCTCTGCCAGGGAAGTCCTACTCACTGCCTTCTCGTGGCGGGGGTGTTGTTTACGAAAATGAGAGGACGAAAAGCGAATTTAACTGGATAAAAGTTATCGTTTTAGCTAAAGATTTTGTACTTTATATCAGTTAATTCCAGGGTTTAAGTCAGAAATTCAATCTCATGAGTAGGTTTCATCCAGGCACGTTGTATCTTTCCTCTCGTCTATCGACTGACATTTTACTTAATCATTCTAACAATTCAAAACTCGTGCACCACTTGTCATTAGTTCTAACATGTAACAAAATAAAATGTATGTAACATTAGAAGTCAGTAAGCGAACTAGTTATCTCAGATTTGTGTCCCTTGTTCAGTTAAAACAGCTTCAGTATTATGGATTTATAGTTATACATTATTATGTGGGGTGAATCAAAGAGAACCTTCTTTCTTCACTGATCTTTATCATAATTGTTAATTAAGTTCTTTAAGCCTTGGATATCGATCCTGATCTCATCATCATAGAAAACCCTTGAATTATATAACCTATCGAAACTATTTTTATTTATTTTATTTTATTTTTAACACATAAGCATTTGTACAAGGAAGCAACAAATACATATGCGCCACACGAATCTCAATTGATTTGTGTGAGGGCTGTGATACTGATCGGGTGCCCAAACCGAAGCAGGTAGTTTTCTTAGGGGGCCACACCCCGAGCGTTTGACCTGAACGTCTGACCCACAAGGCAGTGGAGCATCGTAAGAAGATGCAGTCCCATGGTAGCCGGTGACCAACGATTGGTTTATACGCCATTTGTTCCTTCAGGATACTGGAGCCAGCCCATGTGCACCCTCGGTTTGGAATTCGGTTAAAACACCGGACATTCGCTTTTCGTCCTCTCATTTTCGTAAACAACACCCCCGCCACGAGAAGGCAGTGAGTAGGACTTCCCTGGTAGAAGCTATATACGCGTGGCCATGTGAGAGCATTTCGAGAGGGAGAGCGGACTCTCCTCACTCTCGACCGTACCAGGGCGTTCGGGGGCATCGAAACTATTTGGTGGTGTTTGCTCCTTTTGTAGAAGTGCCACGACCCAAACTAGATAACCTTACAGTACTACTAAGCTATATAAGTCTTCAAGTCGTTTTTATAAATAGGTAGGACCCCAGGTTTAGTATCAGGTACAAATAATAAACTAATGGCTGTTGCTATAACTAGATTCCCTCTCTTTAATTAAGGCTTTACTATCAGATCTAATTCCTGCCCATCCTATCATGTCTACTAGTTTGATTCTAAATTTTATAAAACAGCGAAAAGCCTCTGAATATTCGTAAACTCCATTACACTGGAGTGTTGGTTTCACATTTTAGAAGTCGCGTCATCGCTAGTATATATTTCTGTATTGTCTTACCATGTCAAGTTTTTTCGCAAATGTAGTTTAGATCGTATCTTCATTTTAACCTATTAGAAAATAAAATTCTCAGTTCTTATGTATTGTTCCGTATCGTCGATCGCCTCGTTCTACTAAGTAAACAATCTTCATCAAGTTGTTATGCAGCATGGTAAGATGTATGACTTAGTTGAATTAATCTTCCCTTCTTTCATATTGTTAGTTATCACTTTTTGTTCTGATTCTAGTAAAGCTGTTTCACCCAATCAGTGGTGGGAATTGTTCGATATGAAAGTCAAAAGAAATTACTATTATAATAGTAGCACCCGAGAAACTGTTTGGGAGAAACCGGTTGATGGTGATATTATCCCTCTAGCAAAAATTCAGGTGAGCATAGTTTCTTTGTTAATTGATTTCGTTGCTTAGATATATGGTTTATAAATTTGTTGCTTTGTACTGACCTACCACCAAATACAGAAAAAATTTAGTTTCATACTTTTATGCCCAGTTTACTTCTTTACTTTTCATCACGGAAACAGTTTTTTTAAAGTTCAAGACATAATTTTCGTCCTAGTAGTACAAGTTATTTTTCATTTTATTATTTTTTCCGTCAAATCTTTTGGCATCAACCTGAGCGCTCTCTTCAGTAAAGCTTCATAAGTGAGTTTTCGTGGAAATAAATCTCATTCCGTTGGATTCTTATAACATTTCTGGTTAATGCTTGCAGTACGTCAGTAATTCTTCACTTCATAAAATTCTCATATTCTTCTCTTTGAAAACATGAAGTATGTAAAAAGATATACTTTTATACTTTTCGAAGATGGGTTGAGATTTGAAGTTAATTGGTATAGCAACATTTGGCCACCACATCGATAATTGTCTCCTATACTTCGACCTTAGTTGGTGGGCCAACATTTTAGTTGTGGTTGCAATATTCTATTGAATGGTAATAGGTTTCTTTTCAACTACCAATAAATTTAAAGTTGCGGCAGTTCACAAATATTTACATACATTTAATTTGATAACTCTTATTCAGCGTATTTTCCTGTTGTTTCTTTTTCTTTTTCTTATTTAAAAGACAACAACTTTATTCCTTTGAATCCTTTGGTATACCATTTCGGGGAGCTACCAACATTCAAATTAACTTTTTTATTGCAAGTAACCTAGTATTACACAAAATCCAATCAGTTAATATTTCCTTCACATTAGTGCACATATGTGTAGCGTTTGTCAGGTTTTTTTTAGTAGATTGGTCTTTCCAATGAACAACATAAAATTTTAGTCTGTTCCACTTACTCGTATACACATATACCTGTATAAAAATATACTTATATCCTTACGCACCATTTTCATCCTAAGTCATTGGCTGTGTTTTTTTCAAACAAAAACTAAATAATCGATCGTCTTTGTTCTATCGATTACATTAGAATTGTCCAGTTTCTGTTTACGAGGTTAAATTTTAATTAGTGAACAATACACCATATAAGTGACCGGAATTCTGTGCAAACAATTATATCAATTCCGTTTCTTAACTAGATTTCTCCATAGCCTCATCTGATATCACGTAATTTATCGTATAGTTTTTATATCCCTTTATAACCCTATTAGACATCCGATATCTAGATTTAGTTGAATTTGTCTTGTTTTTAAGTCGCAACTCTGGATAACTGGAAAACCCATTACCCTCTCACTATAAGGTCCTATAACCTGTAGTGAGTTTTTACCGATGTTAATCTTATTGTATTGAATCAAGTTTGTCTAACTCTGCATCATTGTAAACAAATATGAACTATATATATATATATATATATATATATATATATAATCAGAAATAGAATCTGTAACTTGAAAATGATAAGATCCTCCCTAACTGGTATACTGTAACCGAAATAAAATTTACTTATAAAGGTTTGTGTTTTCCCATTGTTGGTGTTAAGGACAACAATCGATCAGTCACTATTACCATATGTTCATTCTGAGCTGATTGTTTCAATATAGCCATGTAGAAACAAGTTTTGTATTATAGTCGCTAGCCAATATTCAACCTTAACAAAAAGTTACTGTTAGTCTAAAAAAGCGAGCATAAGAAATACGAATTATGTCAATCTAACTACACTGACCTCACAACTTTATAAATAATAACATGAGTTTAGAATCTGATGTATTTTTATGCCAATCGGCCCATCTACTACATACATTCTTTATGACACTAATAATTTTAATACATAGAAATATATTCATTGTTTAATACTCTTTATCTACTGCGCTTCACTCGACGTAACACAAATCAGAATCAGAATTTACTGGAATCAAGATTAATTTATTTACTAGCACTGCTTGATTACAATATACCAGTCCGGATATATTCAGTTTCGATCGTGCATTGAGTATGCAATCTTGATCTTAGTAAATTTTCAATACTTCTGTACTTTGGCCTATCCATTTATAGTCAACTGTTATTGTTTTGTTTTTGGGAATGTTATCAGCCACTGTTCAGCATACGTTAGAGGAGATAGGCGAGTACTTTCATAATAATAATAATAATAATAACATAAATGAATTTACGTAACATTATTTAGTATTCCATGTGTAGAACTCATAACAAATGCTATAATAGTGGTATTTAATGACTGAATTTATTTACAACATATTGAGTAGTTTTTTTGTATGTTCAGTTGTTGTTTCTTTTCAGTTCAGTTGTTATCTATTTCTTACTCATTTGCATATTCAGTATTAATTGAATAACATTCACATAATTGTCTACCATTCAACTGACAAAGATATGAATGTTTTGAAAATAGCGAAACAAACGGTTATTGACAAATTACATTCAGTATAATTCTGGTAACGTTTTATCTTCTTTTTAAGCATTTAAACAACTATTCTGTGGCTTATGATCCATACTCATCTCGAAAAGTTATCATAAAATTACTAGCAAAAATAGATGAAAAGATGGATCATGTAAAATCTTAAAAACAATCCAGACGCTCCTAATGTTTATTTGTTAACTTACAAACAAGATCGTGTTGTTAAGTCTTTATTGCTGATGAAGTTTTACCAGTCAAATTCGAAATGTGATCGCATTAACGTAAATCGAAGGTTTTGTACCGATCTCCTGTAACCACTTAACACTAAATAAAGGGATTCAGAATGCCCGGTCACTTAGTTTACATATGAATATACTAATAGAACATGACCACTTCGAAATAAAAACAGATAATGTCATATTGATTAATACTTGATTCTAAAATATGGTTACTTTTGTCCACAGTAGTTTATCGTTGCTTTTTTCTCCAAAGATACAGGTTTCTCTGGATTCCATGCACAATTACTGATGAGCAGTACTAATAGGTGCAAAAGTTCATTCCGTTAAATCATTACAAACTACTATTATTAGTCATTATAACATTCAATCTATCACAGTACTTTATCGAACTAAATGGGTTACACATCAGAAATTCACTACGAAACTAAATTAGTATATTATGTAAATATATACAAAGAAATTGACAGATAACTCTGAAAAATAAAATATATAATCTGTAAAATAATTTTATTTTTCGAGACAAATTGAAGACTACCAGTATAGTGTTGTGGCAACTGTCGAGTTTTGCTTGGAATCATCAACCGAGTGCTTGCCCACGATTCCGCGTGCGAATGCTTAAACTCTAGGTCACTGGTTCGGCATCTAACGTTGCTAATGTTTAACTTCAACCAATCCAACATGTATCACGACCATCTTCTATTGTCTTCTGTGGGTAACTACTTCACTTCCAAGACAGTTGAACTCCACTGGCCACGGCTTTTGATTAGAACTCTGAGAATTACCTGTCGAAGCTAGTCACTAGTAAGCACATGATAATGATCACTGATCGCATCCGAGATCGTGGATGCGCACTGTTAAGGAGTCCTATACTAGGACGAAAAGGTTGTCCAGTGCTTCCAGATTTTTATTGATGATCTCACATTGATCGGTTCATGATCTCAACGTAAAATTATCAGCAAATAACTAATTTTGTTATTAAAAGTAAAAGATTCCTTCACACAGCAAATCGTCTCGTCGTCATTGTCTTCTTTTTTTCTTCCATTTTAGTTACTACAACAAAATCTTCAACCATCATCATTTATAATCCAAAAAAGTGTAGGTTTTCACTATTTAATTCACGTTTAATTTGTTTTTTTTTTAAAAATTATTTGTACGAATAGATAGAAATTTTCACATGGTTTCCTAGTTTTTATTGTATGATATTTTCTTGGTAATTATTATGCGATTTATATTCAAATATCTATTTATATAAAAGAATTTTTAAAGATTATGGAAACCTGAGCTATCTAAATCATTTTATTCCTTTAACATTAGATTGTATTGCATTACATCACACTTAAAAGTACCTCTTGATAAACATCTTAATTTGAAAACAAAACCAAGATCATTGATTATTAACTAATTGGAGTATGTTAACATTCTAATTTTATAACCGATTAAGATAATTTATTGCACAATGTTACATCTATATGCTTATATTCTTGATATGACTATTAGTGTCTATTCTTTTTTTAGCAAAAATTGTTTCTGGGTATTTTAAAACCTGTGCTAAACTACAGAAAATCTTGTGTTTATATAACAATTTTTTATCAGTTAGATTTTTTCCATTTAAATTCGAAAATAATTCTAATGATTAGCTTACATTATTATTTTAAAACTATCTACCTTCATATCAAATAAACTTCCGAAATCATCGAATTGAATATTACGAGTGTTCACAACATTTTTGTTAACTGTAACTTTAATAGTTTGTCTGAAATGGTCATTTGTCCAATCAAATGTCACACTCTTCATTTAATAGTTACTTATTATGTATATTATATATTATTATTATTATTATTCGTTCAATAACAAAAGTCAACAAAACATAGCATGTCGCATACGAGTCAAGTTACTATTCTTCCTAGTAACATTGGACGAGGAAATTGCAGGAAGTAATTTAGTAAAATGAATCGAAAAAAAAGCAAACGAATGAATAGGAAAAGATTCGTTATCGAGAATGAAATATTTTAGATCTAGTGTCTGACGTACCCGGTGTTCTTCACGTTGCCTAAGGTTTCTAACCATTTAATTTCAGCGTATTTTCTGTCGACGTGTACTAGAAAGTTTATACTTCTATAAGTATAGTTTTAGAATTTAGCTGTGTTTTGATCTACTAATTCATTATAAGTCTCCAACCTGTTTAAAATATTTCCTTAAGCAACTATTTTATTTGTATGGTCACCATACTCAATATCGACATATATACTCCTTTTTCATTGCTAAATATCTTACTTAAGAAATGGGTGGTTTATCATCAGCGACTTAAACTGTTTATATGTAACCACGCAAAACATCTTTGCGTTTTGAATCTCAAATACTTAGATTGCGAGTCTTTATTATTTTTCTTGTCATCAATTCACCAGTGATGCTTACTTGTGCATGTTATGCCGTGTTTTTTTAGCTATCAAACATAGTTCATCCAACAAACAATCAAACACTCGATTAATTCCGACAGAATAAAAACTCAAAGTTCATAAGTTCTTTACGAAGTGACTCCAGTCCGAGAAAATTTTCAATCATTCAGCTGATGGCGTTCCGTTTTAAAATGAAAAACTAATATTAAATAATCTGTTTACTTGATAACCACTATTTTTAAATGTTTGCTTAGGACTTTAAATAAGTCGTCAATTATCTATATCCCCACATGTTCCCATTTGAGTTCGCTAACACTATTAAGCTGTGTTGTACCAAAATCAGTTCTTCAGATAAACGTTTTGAGGTGAAACTTATTTAAGAGAACTAACAATCTTGTGGATTTATTAAAATATGACTGCTTAAAAGAGTAAAACATTAACTTTATTAACCCGGTGAAAATATTTATTACAACTACTTTATGTGGACGTAAATCTGATGTTTCCTTTCCAAAATAAGAGAGGTGGCTCAGATGTTAAGGCGTTCAGTTCTCAACCCCTAATAATTACCAAAAGTAATAAATATGAGATATTTTGATCGATGATAATATCTGTCTGCTATTCTAAACGGTTGCTTCATATAAAACCGGTTGCATACTAATCACATTCTCAGTTTATTTGATGATAGGTTTCATTTTCATAAGCTTTTAAATGTGGAACTCAATATTCTATCACAAAATAAATACTAACAAGTATTTTTCTACCTAAGTATCCAATCTGACAGTCTATTCTGCCTGTATCCTAAGATGTGATAGGAGAGGAAATATTTTATGTAATTAATACCGGGATGTAGGAACTACATTATTTTCACGGGTGCAAATCAAAGTCTTCTGTTAAACAGTTGCCTAATATTCTTCGACTGGTGGGTGAGGTATGTGCAGATGTGCGAGAAAGTTTAGAGTTATAATTGATTTCATACTTTGAAGACAAGTAGTTTCAATGATGGTCTTTATTAGTTGAATTTCATTACCGTAGCATCAATTACATCCCATTTCATTTAAAGATTTCCTTAGTTTTTACTTGTTTATATTACTGAACTTAACTTTTTAAAAATTCACATGTGATACTGTTGTTTATCTTGAACATTTAATAATTCAAGTGCTTGTTTGTTTGTTTTTGTAAACGCTTAAATCTGACTTTCAGATTTACTTTATGAAAGCACGTCTTACTATGATTACTATATAATCAAAAAATAATAATGAGAATCTTAGCCAAAATTTCTAACAATTCATTTTTGTTAATTATCTTGGATTTTATTTTATTTTGTGTCGTCCATTATACCACAGCTGTTATTGTTATTGGTAATGGCTTCTTGTATTTCAGTTATTGTATATTAACCCAACTCCGTATGACAATATTCACCATATATATCCTATACTATTAATTGTGGACGACATAAATTTACTACAAAAGTGTAATATTATTTATTTAAACAATCGTCTGTATTATATACTTCGAAATGATTCTTGTGTTATGGCATTCTTTATAAATAGTAAACTATTGTATCGAAAGAAATACCATCCAACAGCTGTTATATTCACTGTATATAGCTGAAATATGAATGTTGTAAATCAAGAATATTTAGTTGTTTTTCCTCCTGAGTTGTGAGATAGTTATACAGTGAAGATAATGATGGACGGTGGCGCAATTTCGTGGATTGGTTGAAGTTAGACGTTAACACCGTTAGATGCCGGTCCAGCGGTCTATAGGTTAAGCGTTCGCGCGCGAGACTGATAGGTGCTGGATCCGAATCTCGCGAGGCGGAATCGTGGATGTGCACTGCCGAGGAGTCCCACAATAGGACGAAACGGTCGTCCAGTGCTTCCAAGTTTTCCATAGTGGTCTAGCTTCAATTGACTCATGAATTCAACTATTAAATTACTATATTATTCACAACACCCCCCCTCTGATTGTAAACAAGTAACCATTGAATTATACAGGTAAACGGGGATTTCCTGTGTAACTTTATACAAGTCATAAATCATGTTTCCTTCATTATTCATTTTATTGTTTATACAGTTAGGAAAACGAGCAAATGAAGACTTCAATCAGACATTAGTAAGTTGAAAATTTCCTAGTTTTAAACACATACATGCAAACAAATAAATTATTAATATTAGACTTATTATGTAATCCTTCCTAATCGTATACGAATGTAAAATTTCGAATTTTCGTGGCACAACGTTACTAAAAACACATTCTTTGGCATGTGCACACGACTAACATACAAATCGGGAGCAACATAAAAATGCTTTATATTCGATTCAATATCTTGATGTGCATATTTTCCTCTTGCTTTGTGAAATATTGCATCATACTTCTTGAAACCATGTATGTGTCACATGTAGGATTTGTTTTGTCCATTTCTTGTTCACAAATCAATCATTTGTATTTTTATATAATAGAAATTAAGTATATGTACATTCTGTATTGTGTGCTTGAAACCATGACAGACATTTTATTTGTGCTATTTAAATCATTTATACGTCCAGTGAATAACTTTTTCATTGGGATTTATTCTAATTTTATGTTTCTATTTCAGGGGAATAATAATTTGTTCATTATTAAATTAAACTAGACATTTTGAAATCAGTTTCAAGTTAAGAGGCTCCTAAACTCCATTTTTTAGAAGCTTGAAAACAGATTTCTTGTTGTTAAGAAAATGAATATGGTTCACTTACGTCTTACTTTACGCTACAGTCATTTGTTAGTTACACTTCTACCAATTATAGTAGTTGTTTCTGTAGGTTTACTGAACAGTAATAATGAATAGTAATGTTACCTATTGTAAACACAGAGAGTGGATGCACCTGCGCCATTGCAAACGATTTTTAGCCATGTCATTCAAGGTCTCTAACCATCGGTTGCTATCATCTCGCGGTCCCCAACCAAGTAGTCTACACCTACCAACATGGCTCAGTCTACTTGTCAGTGACTTCATGGATTTGTGCCATGTTTTGGTCTGGCCGCCCCTAGCTTTCTTCCAACCTACTCCTACACCAGAAAACATCGCACGTCGGGGCAGTCGGTGGTCGGGCATGCGCAACACATGTCCCAGCCATCTCAACTGATGAAGTTTCACTACTTCATCAATTGATTTGCCATCCTTACCTAGTACCCGCTTCCTGACAACTGTATTACTTACTCAGTGGTCCCAGGATATACTAGCAATGTTTCGAAGACATCCATGATCGAATACTAGTAACCTACGAATATTCTCTACTCTTACCGGCCATGTTTCACCGCCATAAAATAGGACGGAACGAACTGCTGTGCAGTAAACACGTCCTTTGGTTGGTATATGGATATATCGCCTACGCCATAAATGACGCAAGTTGGCAAAAGCTAGTCGAGCTTTTTGTATCCGTACTGAGATTTCATCACACACCAGACCACAAGGGCTGATGAGACTTCCGAGATAAGTGAAGCGGTCGACACACTCAACTACTTCACTCCCTATCACTAGTCCGGGTGTCGACGCAACCCAATCCTGAAGCAACATTTTGCATTTCGAGGGAGAAAATCGCATGCCGAACATGCCTGCATTGTTGCTTAGAGTGGTCAGCAGACTCTGCATTTTGTCAGCGTCTTCACCAAATAGAACTATGTCATCGGCATACTCTAAGTCAACAAGTGAATCTTTCGGTAAAAGTTCAACCCTTGGAGTCAGATGTGGAAAGTGTTGTTTCTAAAAGCACGTCAATGATAAAGTTAAACAAGAATGGAGAGAGTGGACAGCCCTGACGAACACCACTTGAGGTAATCAGTTCTGATGACAGTTCGCCATAAGCTCTCACTCGACCAGTTGTGTTCGAGTAGAGAGCCTTTATAAGGTTAATATACTTCTTTGGTACTCCTTTCAGTGACAAACACTGCCATAGAACCTCACGATCAACATAATCAAATGCCGCCTTAAGGTCGAGAAATACTACCATTGTGGGGCGTCTGAATATGTGTCTATGTTCTAGGACCTGAC